TTCTCTGGGAAGCCTGGCTCTTTGTCGCAGTCGGGCGCCGCGCGGTGGACTTTAAAGTGTTGGGCATAGGCGGCTGCTGTGGCCCCGCTGCTGCGGCCGGGGGCTTGTGTGCGGTGGGCGAGGGCGGCGTCCCACGCCCCCCAGACCTGTGGCAGATCCAGGGGGACATTGAGGGAGAGGAGGGCGCCGGTGCCGTGCGTTGTGGCGTGCCGCATTTGGGCGCGGAGGCCGGCCAGGTAGCTGGGGAGCTCGGCCCCCGGCTCAGAGTGGATAAGTTGGGTGCTGCCTGCCGCCGCCAGGTGGTCAAGGGTGCTCAGCCAGGACCCGGCCCAGCTTGCGCGCGGCGGGCGGTCGCGGGCAAGCTCAAGGTCGCCGGCGAACGCGCGCTTGAGCGCGCTGTCAACCGGCGCCCGCATGAGCCGGTTCCAGTTTGCGGTGCAGGCGCGCAGCCAGGCGCGTGCCAGGGGTTGGGTGCAAGACTCGGCGGTGAGGATCGAAACCGGGATGTTGCGGCGCAGGCCCCCAAGCTGGCGCAAAAAGTCGTTCTGGACAACTTGGGGGGTGGCGGCCAGGGCGGCGTCAACGGTGCGCATCAAGTCGGGTGCCCAAACCTCGGCGCAGTAGTTGAGGGTGGGCTCGACGAGGATGCGGAAAAGGCGGCAGCGGAGCGAGAAATCGGCTATGCCGCGCTGCTTGCAGCGGGCCAGTAGCGCAAAGGCGGCGGGCAAGCCCGCCGCCTTGCGCTGGTGGGCCTCTGGGGTGGTGCCTTTGGCGCTGTGCAGGGTCACCCCCAGATACTTGAATTCGGGGGAGGTGGGGACGCGGGCGCCGCGGTAGGTCCACCGCGCGGCGGTGCACTTAAGGCCAAACACCACAACCTCGGTTTTGGAAACGTTGACGCGAAGGTGGTGGGTATTGCAAAACGACTGCAGGGCATCCAGCTGGGCCTGCAGGCCCTCTGCATCCGAGGTCAGGAGGGCCAAGTCGTCGGCGTACAGCAGCACCCGCAGGCGGCCGCCGCTGCCGGCCAGTTCCACACCGGTGTCGGGGGCGCGCTCCGCCAGAACATGCCCCTGCCAGAGGCACTGCCCAGTGTGGACAGCCGGTGGGACACCGGTGGACCCGTGGATGACAGGGTAGGGTTCCTTAAATGTCCTTCAAGGGTCCCATTCGAGAGACTTCTGACCGCTTGGCAAGAGCCAGGCGTCACACTTCGGCCCCGCCGCCGGCCTGTGGCCGGCATGGCAAACGGTTTTCAACGCGGCACGCAACAAACGCTGCCGCGAAGCAGCGAGGTGCGCGGTGCCACCAGGTGGCACAGCACGCTGCCAAGAAAACGGCGGCGGCGCCGTTGCCAGTGGCGGGCGCCTTGGCGCCTGGCAGGCACCCTGGCGCTGGGGCCGCGAAAATGCGATTTACTTTAGCAACCGGTGATTGATAATCCCCCAAATTTCCGGGGAGCGTTGCGCATTACGCCCCCGCAGGGTGCCTCGAAACGGCACCCTGCCAGCCCACATGGGCAGAAAGAGCCTTGCCTGCCGCCTGCGGCTCCTTGCCCTGGCCTCTTGGTAAGTTGGTGCGAACCGGGAAACAATGCCCCAGCAATGCACCACGGTGCACACCCGCTGCCGAGCGGCCAACCTCGGCGCCCGCTGCTGCCCACGGCGAGCGCGGCTGCAGACTGCAGACTGCCGAGGTTGCCGCCGTGGGCGCACGCAGCGTGCTGTACCGCGCTGTGCCCTCTGTCTCCCCTCATCACCGCAACCCGTGCCACCTTGAAGCGTTTGGTGAGCCGCGATGCGTCCTTCTCAACCTCGGCAATTCCCCTCACGTTGTGTTCAGTCAGGCCCCGTCGGCAAGCCGCAGCAACTGAATGCAGCCGGCAGACGGCGCGCCCACCCCGTGCTCAGCCGCTGCGGCCCTGGCCTGGCGGCCAGGGCTGTCCCCACACTGCGGGCGCACTCGGCGGCTGCACAGTTTTGCCGCCACGACTGGCGCGGGGCGGCGCTGTTCGCACTGACGAACCGGCCCCTGCAGCACTGCATGGGCCCAATAGCCGCACGCTGCCTCCCTGATATCCCCAAATGGCCGCCCCCGGCGCCGCTCATGAAGCAGAGGTCCGGGGATTGAAACGCCGTACGGGCACTCGCTTTTTGCTTTCCGCTCAACACCCGGACCCAAAGCCGCAAGCCTCACCACCCCCAGCCCCCGGCAAGCCCACACCGGCCGGCCAGCGGGAGGGGCGGGGCCCCCCGCTTGGCACGCCCCCCCCCGGCGGCCCTCGCGTATAAGCGCAGCGCTATAACCAGCTTAGCTACACGGACAAAAGCGCACTGTCAAAATACGTAACCGACACCATATGAGTGTTTGGGGTTGTGCCGATTTTTTGGAGGGGGCCGGTCAGCCTCCACAAGCCTTGCCCACCACCTCCCAGCCCCCGGCAAGCCCACGCCGGCCAGCCAGCGGGGTGTGACGCCCGCCCCGCACAGCGCGCCCCCGCTGCCAAGCGGCCCAACTCGCGCCCCCCCCGGGTGATGCAGCGCCACACCCCGTTCCCTCAGCGCACCACCCACGCGCCGCTGGCCAGCGGCGCGCCCCCCCATCCAACACGGCGCGCGCGCTCTCCGCCTGTCCGCTTTGACCACACCCCTCGACGGGCCGCGCTTTTACACGCGCGCGCGCGCGCGCGCGCGCGCCTCGGGCCGCCGCTACCGCGGCGCGCCCCCGCCGCCCCCGCCGCCGCCGCCGCCGCCGCCCCCGCCGCCGCCGCCGCTGCTGCCGCCCTGCTCCCCCCCCATGGCGTGCTCTATGGTGTACATTTTGGCGAGGGAGTTGAAGCCCCGCTGGTCGCCGTTGCGCAGCAGGTTGCCTGCGCGCGGGGTTGGGGTTGGAGAGGAGGGAGGGGGGGAGCGCGGGGGTTGGAGAATGGGGGGAGCGCGGGCCCAATGCCATTTCAGGAGGGGAGCGCGGGAGTTGGAAAGGGGGGGGGCAGCACGGGGGTGGAGAGGAGGGGGGGAGCGCGGGGGTCGGAAAGTGGGGGGAGGTGCGGGGGTTGAAGGGGAAGGGGCGGGGGCAGTCAGCAGTCAGCGGCTCGGGGGCGCGGTGACGGGTGTGGGGCTGCCCACAGGAAGAGGTGTGCCTCCCCGCCCCCAGCCGCACATTCAGCAGGCCCCCCCAGGGGCCCACCCGCGTCGCAGTTGAGGGGGCTGTCTGCAGCCGGGTCGCTCATCAGCGCCGCCACCGCCTGGCACACGCTGTGCAGCGTCCACGCGGGGCTCCAGGCGTTCTTCAGGATGTCGAGGCAGATCTCACCCGTCTGGTTGGGGGGGGGGTGTTTGGGGTTTGGTTTTGGTTAGCTTCGGTCTTGCTTTGTGTAGCGCGGTGCTGTGCCGTGTTGTTTGGTTTGTCTTTTTGCGATGTTTTGGTTGAAGTCGGGGTTGCGGTGCACACGCTGTCCCCAAGGCCCCCCAAATGCTCCCGTTCCCCCCAAATCGCCCCCCAAACAGCTCCCGCCCCCCCCAAGGGCCCGCCCTCCCCAAATCCCCCCACCTTGAAGTGCACGTTTGGGTGGAATACTTTGGTGCGGAACCGCACCGCCGGCGGCACGAGGGGGTACTGCTCCGGCACGTTGATGGCCAGCTCAAAGGTGCCGCCCTCGTAGGGGGTGTCGCTAGGGCCCTTTGGGGGGGGGGGTTGGTATGGTTTGGCTGGGTGGGTTGGGGGTTGGGGGTTGGGGGTGGGTTTGGGGTGGAGGGCGGTGATGGGTGTGGGGCTGCCCACAGAAAGAGGTTGGCCTCACCGCCCCCAGCCGCACATTCACCAGGCCCCCCAAACCCCCCAAGCCGCACCTTCATCAGCACGCGCCCAGCCGCACCTTAAGCAGTTTATCAGCCCCCCAAACCCCAGCCCCCAAACCCCCCCAGCCGCACCTTTATCAGCGCGCGCCACAGGAAGAGGTTGGCCTCGTTTGGGATG